TATTTTTATAAATTAATAAATAATCACAATAATTATGAAAATAATCACAACTATAACTCTTTACCTTATATTAATCATATAGATGATTTACATGAAGAGTATTGAATCAACATGTCATAACTGTATAAACTATGATTCACATAATAAAATTATCAATAATTGTATATCTGGAAATATGTCTATTTGTAAACCTTATCAAATAAAAAATGCTTTCGATGAACTTTTTAATATTATTTGGAATACTTATATTGAAAAATATGATTTAATGTTATCATCAGAATACCTTAATGCATTTAATAAATATGTTCAATATGTTGATGATCAAATCAAAAAGGATAAATCACATATTACAAACATGTCTTTTAAAGAATTTCAATCTTTATTAGAAAATGATAAAATAAATATTTTAGATTATTGTAAAGCTGATAAATATGAAAAAATAATTAATACAAATGAATTACTAAATAAAAATAGTATTTTATTACATTCTATAAGAAAAAATATTTGTAATTTATAACAAAAGAATTATCAGATAAAGAAAATTTTTTAAATAATATTCTAGAAAATAATAAAGATTCAGATTTATTAATGTATAAAGGTTTTGTTTATAGTTTTTTAAGAAATAAAAATGTGATCAATGAAATAGGTGAAGAAAAAGTAATTGCTTTAGAAAAAAAACGATTAGATGTTATAAAAAATTCTACAACAATAAATTGGTTTAAATGGTGGAGATATTTATTATCAATTTCACCTGATTTAAATATCAATAATATTTATTGGATTTTTAAAACAGTTGATGAATTAAATGCAAATACAAAAGATAAAAATTTTTATAAATTAGTAGGATCTACATTTGTGAAAAATCTAATTAAATGCAATCAAGAACATAAAAATATATGCACACCTGAAATGATAAAAATGTTAGAAACTGAAATAGATTGCAATACTTTAACAACAGATGGAATATATAATTCTTTATTTAAAAATGAATATTTTAATAAATTAGTTAAATTTAATATTGATAAAATTAATGATATATATGCACAAATAGCATTATGAAAACAACAAATACAAAATTATTGTGAAATTGACTTTTTAATAGATGATTTTTCAACAAATAATAGATTTGAAAATTTTATAAAAGGTGGAATTTATGAACCATTTTTCTGGAATTCAAAACCATTTTCTAATGATTAAAAAAAAATTATTAAAAATAAATGGTTAGAAAATATGAATAGATTAGTAAAATTGGAAAAAAATACTAATATAATTGAATATTTAGATGAATTATTAAAAATATCTGAAGCTTTAAAACATAATCAACTTTTTACATCAGATTCTTCTAATCTATTTTCACAAAATCTAAATACAGAAAGAGAAATATGTAAAAATTATATTAATGATAATGGTCCTATTCAATTGTTAATAGAATCAACAAATATACCAAACAATGCTAAAAAGGAATTTAATAATAGATAATTAAAAATATTAGATAGAGAAGAAATTGCAGAAATTGAAACACCTGAAAATCTTGAAATTTTTAATAAATTAAAAATTGAAATAGAAATAATTGATATGGACATTATATTAAATTTATTTGAAACTGAAAATGAATTATATAAAAAAATCATCAATTCAAAATTATCACAAGAAAAAATTAATAAATTAATTAATTTTGCACAAGAAAGAATAAATAAATTTGAACAAAAACAATATAATGATTTTAATAATATAATAAATAATTTAAATATTATAAAAGATTTAAATAATTTAAATGATGAAATATCAAGTGATAAATATTTATCTGATAATCATAAAAAACTTTTATTATCAACATTACAACACAAAAAAAATGATATACAACAAAATTCAGAATTTGAATTTTTAAACAAAATAATATCAGAAGAAAAAGATATTAACAAATTAGAATCTAATCTAAAAACAGCAATCAATGAATCATCTTTAAATGATAAACAAAAAGAAAAATTAGAAAAACTTAAATTAGAAAAAATTGAAAATCTTAAACCTACTGAAAAACCAGAAAGTATTTTATTTGATGAATTAAAAAAACAAATTGAAAATATTGATTTATCAAATGCAGAAAAATTATTTGATGGTAATGATTTATATCAAACAATTATCAATTCAAATTTACCATCAAATGATATTGATAATTTAGAAAATTTAAGAAATAAAAAATTAAAACAATTAATAAATAAACAATATAATCAATTTGAAGATTCATTAAATTCATTAGAATCTGAAGAAGATTTGAAAAGTTTAAAAAATCAAGTAATAAATAATAAATTATTGCTAAAAAATCAAAAAGATAATTTTAAATTTGATAAAAAATAAATTAGATAAAACAAAAGGAGAAGAAAGATTACAAAAAGAAAATAATAGAAAATATGATACAATTGAAAAAATATTAATTAATTTTCAACACCAGAAACACTTGATAAATTTATTATAGAAAATATAGATTCTTTAAATGAAAAATATTTAACTAATGGTAGAAGTAAAATCAAATTAAATGAAATCCATGAAGAAAAAAGAAAATCATTAATACATCAAATAAAAAAGAAGAAAATAAAAATATAATTCTTTAATTGAAAATATTAAAAATTGTGATGATCCATATTTACTATCAGATGAATATTATAATAAAATATATCATAATATTGAAGATTTAAATGAAGCTTATCTTTTTAAAGATAATACAAAATCAAACTTACATCAAATTAGAGAAAAAAGAAAAGATGAATTAGAAAAAGAAGATATATAAATAATATGTTTTTACTTTATTTTTTTTTTAAATTATTATTAACAATTGTTAAAATGGATAATGATAATGATTGGTTAGATTTTTTTAATAAAGAAAATATTCCTGAAAAAAATCAAGATAATTGGCAATTTTCTGGTTTAACTATTGAAGAATGTAAAATAGCAATAAATAATGGATGGGATAATGAAAATAATAATTTAATACTAAATTATTATATTAAACATCGAAATTTTAAAAAAATAAATGTTTTAAAAATAAAAAATCTGAATTAAATAAATTACTTGATATTCTTGATAAAATTAATGAAAAAAATAGAAATACATTTAAATCATTACCTGAAAATTTTGAAATAAATAATATAAATAATTTAGATGATGAATTTTTACCACGTGGTGTAAAAAAAGAAGATCTTTTAAAAGCTATTAAAAATAGAAGAAATACATTTCAATATAAAATAAATGAACCTAATAATGAATATAATAATGATGGTTTAGATCAAAATGAATATAAAAAATATTAAAATCACTTGATGAAACACCAGAATGAAAATTTGAAAAATGAAAAAAGAAAGTAACACCAGAATTCTTGAATAAATTTTTAGATAATTTTCTTCAAAGAAAAGGTGATAAGAATTTAGTAGAAAAAAATCTTGATGGATGGTTAAAAGAAGAAGATCCTTTACCTAACCAAGATAAATTAAAAGGATATAGTTTAATCGAAAAACCTGAATAGAAAATAAAAGTAGCTGAAATAAAAAAATCTAAATTTACTGGAAATATTAATAAAATTACAATATCTGGTGCTGAAGTTATAGAAAAAGAAGCAGAACTTGATAAATCATTAGCTGGTACATATTTATTATTATATGTTTTTAATTTAATAGAGTTTGATATAGAAGCATTAAAAAATAATAATAATAGTTATAATTCAGATAGTTTTACTAAAATAAAAGATATTATTGTAAAACTCAAAAAAGATGAAGAATTAAAACTTAAAATTGTTGATGTTGATGGACCAGGAATTCTTCCTATTCTAACAGATAGTAGTAAAACAACTAAAGTAGTAAGATGTTTACTTACATGTATTTTTCCTGGAAAACATATTATATTAATAACACCAAATGAAGAATTAGCAGCTGATGCTGAAAATCATCATAATACCTGGTTACAATATAGTAATGGTATTCCTTATAAATGTGTTATACATAGAAATCAAGAAGAATTATCATATATAATAAAAAATGGAGAATTAGCATCATGGAATAAATTAATTGAATATGATAATGATGATAAGGGTAAACCTAATAAAAAAAAACCAAAATATGAAAAAAAATCTAGTGCTAATCTAGGAAAATCAACATTATCAATATTACAATTACATTATTTAGTTAGATATATTGCATGTAAAAAAGTAAATATTGATGAATTAAAAGATCCTAAAAAAAATTATGATAATTTTAATAAAGCTTTAAAGGAAATAAAAGAAAAATTAATAGATAAAGAAAATACTATTATTATATTTGATAAAGCACATTTTCCTAATACAAGTTATCAAGTAGTACAACTACTAATAATTAGAATGAGATATAATACTTTATTAATGAGTGCTACATTTTCTAAAAAAAACTTTTCTATATCAACATCAAAACCAAGAGAAGTATATTCTATAACTAAATTTTTCAATTAAACAGATTGGGAAAATGAAAAAACACAAATATTTTTAGAACAACTGCAAATGAATACCTTAGAAAAATAAATGGTGAAGAAGATACTGATGCTGAACCAATATTAAAATCTGGATTAACAACAAAAAAATTTAAGTTATTAGAAGAAAGTGATATACCTTTTGTAATATTTGATAATACAAATTCATCTGCTGTATCTGGTATAACTAAAGGAATGCCATCTGGTTCTTTGTTTATAGCAAATATTAATCATAAAATGGGATTTAGTCCTGATGTTGATAATGTAATATTAACTAGAAAAACACAATTAGAAAAATTGGACAAAGGACCTGGTGCAGAAAGATGGATTTATGATGAAAAAAATGTTCAATACTTATCAGTTGCAAGTATAGTTCAACAAATAGGCCGTGTTGGTCGTCTTAAAAAAGGAAAAGCTTTTTTAACTACACAACAATTAAAAAAATTAATACTAAGTGATGATATTGTATTTCATCTAATAAGTGGAATAATGCTTTCTTCAAGTGAAGAACTAATAAAAAAATTAAACACATTAGGTTATCCATTTACTAAAAATATTAATAATTATAAATATCAAAATTTTCTTTGGGCATCTATTTCTTTTTACTATAAAAAAAATCATTCACCAGAAGCTGTTATGATTGGTGTTAAAGGAAATCCTAAACCAAGTTCTGCTAATCAAATATGTCCAACATATAATAATTTACCAGATCCAGATGTAAAAGATCCAAATTTATGGGCTTTACATACAGAAGGTAAATTACCACCTTTAGAAATTGATATAGATAATATTAAAAATATACAATTATTAATTATTAAAACAAAATTAAGAGCTATTAATATGAATCACAAATCAAAAATTTATATTGAATTAAAAAATTCATTAATAGAAAAAGTATGGGATCTCCTATCAAAAAAATCTGATACAATTTCTATTGATAAAAAAAACAAAATTATCAAAGAAATAAAGGGAATTGTAAAAAGTGTTTTAATGGAAAAATAGATATTAAAAAAATCAAATATAAAGTTAAAGAAAAAGAAAATTTTATAAATGCAGTTAGATGGTTTAATTTTTATGATACAATGAATATTAATATTCTTAGAACAATTCTTGATGGTGAAACACAAAAAGATTATTCTATAATAATAACAGATAGTGAAATAGATGTAGCAATGAAAAAATCTATTCAAAACAAAAAAAATGATTATATTAAAAAATATTTAGATAAAGATGGATTTTTAACTATGTTTAGATGTGAAAACTGTGATAGAATGATGAAACAACTTTTTACTATAATACTTGAAAATTCTCATAAATTAAATCTTTGTGAAATATGTGTTAACAATCTTGAAAATATGGATATAATCACATATATACCTAATGTTGGATATCATGAAAAAAATATTAATTAATTAAATAAAATGAACATTAGTATACTATTTTTATTATTATCTTTAATTCATAATATAAACCCTACAGAATATATATGTACAGGTGGTGATTCTTCTGATATTTCCTATATTGATTGTTTACCTAATAATTTTTATAATGATTATTATAATGATAATAAAAACTATAAATTAATAAATGATAAAAAAAATAATATTAAAAAATTAAATAATGTAATAAAATTATTTTTAAATAATTTTAATAAAAATTTAAATAATATGTGGAAGACTGGGTTAATGACAGTCAGGCCCAACGTACTGTGAAGACTACAGTATCTTTCACAGCTGTGCGAGCCGAGCTTAAAACAGTGAGCGAACTTGCAGAAACATCTTCTTACTCCTTAGATTCCAACTCTTCATCCAACTCCAAGGACCTTCCCTGCTATAATATCTTTCTTATTAATCATAATCTCCCAACTCTACCACCTAAACAAACACTACAATCTTTTATCCAACATCTAAAAAATAACTCTTTTAA